CATTTGTGTGAGTGTGTCTCGACACATTCTAGGATGCGTCGAGATCACGAGATACGGCCGTTCGATACGAAATGCACTTTCAAAATAGACATTGAATTATCGTGACGATGATCGCAGATGTCAATAACTGTGCATTGGGCGGAGCGGTCTCGCAAGATGTGGGCGGGATTCTGGCTCGGAGCCTTAATTTCGTAGCTGTTGCAACTAACGCACTCTTCGCCTGCCAAAAACCGCACTTTTGTTTCTTTGCTGCTTTTTTGAAACAAAACTGCATCCCAACGAAAACGGCTCCCTTTGATCATACTGTCGTGATCGCCGTAGGCAGAGCCACTGAATGGGACTAAGGAAGACGCCCCACTTGCCTTCCAAGGGGCTTTTTTCGCCTCTGTTTTCGTCCGCCTTTTGCCTCCGTCCACATCCCTACCACACCCAATACGTTCTCACCAAAAAGAATCTGCCAAAATGGAATGTCCGTGCGACGTTCAACCCATTTCAAATTAAAGTAGGGATGGTGAGTGGATACAAGAAAGAAGGAAAAACCATGAGAAACGGCCCAGAACCCGAGAAATACCCCTTCCTTGCCCGTTGATTTCCGCATTGATGCGACTCTCATCACTGTGCCCTCTTCAACACTAGGCAATTTTCCCCGTTTGACATGATACTTCTTATCGTGGAATCTTTCACTGGAGGAATGGATCAAGGAAAACTTCTTGAATTTCTGGTCAAGTAAGTGGCGAATCCAAAAGAACCTTTTTTTATGGAGGTCAAAACTATTCTGATTTTTGAAAATCAAAACTTCTCGAATAAGCTTTGCCACGCTAGCCGCCATCATTTGGTAACCCTGCCGGGCTGAGGATATGTATCGAAAGATGAACTTCATGTTGCTCAGTTTGAGTGCGGAACGTGCACAGATAATTATAGCCGTATAGAATTTGCAAAAGAGTTCTCCGAACCTTGTAATTTTATTCGACGACCTTCTGCAGCTTGCAGCCTGTTGTACTGCTCAATTCCCAATCGTATCGCTTTCTCTAGCGTTTCCTGAATGAGCAATAGTGAAATTGGGAAACCACAGATTCTACGATAACAGTCTGACCTTTGTGATCGGCAGCGCTCTTTTTGGTTCTTCATCCTTCCAAACGGAGAAATCAATCGAATCGATGATCGTAGAGGAACAGCTTACTGGACAGTTTCTGAGCAGAGCATATGTAACAGTAGCAATTCAAAAACATCTATGCATTTTTGACTC